ACAAGAATTTATCATATTAACCTTTTAAAGAAGTAATCTTACTAAAATAATTCTGGAAAGTGTAGTCCACTTTAGAGATCTTCCTCTGACATCAGGAGAAATTATTTTAAAATGATACTCAGGGTAGTAAAGGTATTAGGCAGAGCTATTTTTTTTGGAATATTGGCCACAGAGGATTCCACTTATGTTTTAGGGTAAGTGACTTTTGTGACTTTTAAAATATACGTGGCTTTTTAAACATACATAACTTCTGATGACTGAAAAGTAGACAAATCATTCCTAGTTTTGAAAGATCATATAAATATTCTTCAAGAAATCAGTTACAAAAGTGTTCAGAAAGATTTTGTGCAGATCTGGTTTCTCCAGAATTTTGCAGATACTTTCGGCCAGATTCTCTGCTAAGAGTAGAGGGAGCAGCTCCTTTTGCAAAAATGAAGGCTTACACTCTCAGATAAATGGTCTGCTGAGTTCTCTGGTGAAATAATCAGTTCGCACTAAACCAGGATTTTGTAGCATTTGCTGTGATCTGAATACAAAAGCAGCCTATGCTGTAAAAATTAATTCAGGCTTTCCAAGCTGATTAATTAAGTAGCGCTTATTTGTATTGGAATTTGAACATGTTTGTTTTCTAAAGACAGTATTTTTAAAAGCTGGGGCCCACATTTAAGGTAGTGATGTGATCATTTGATTCCTCACCACATGATCTCATTTGCAAAGTTTTAGATACAAACATAAACATTCTTATGATCATTGCAGAAAACAGAGTAAACAAAGAAATTAGTATTTGTTTTAGGCTAGGTACTTCAGGGTTTTTTGGTCTTAAATTGAAGGAATGTCTGCAGGAGTGTAGATGTGTCTCCTAAACGTGCAGTGCCAGAGGAATCCATATGAACAATACCCTTACTTGGTACTGAAAATGCCTTTGCTTGTGATGTATTTATGTCAAAATAGCACATCTGCATTTCTTAGCAACAGGTTTATTTACTTCATTTCCAACTTGTGATGACATATTTCATTCTATGAGACATCGTTAATAGTAAATAGCAAATTTTGGTTCTGGCCTTTGTTATGCAGTCACTGAAAAGGAGGAAGAAGGGACAGGGGAAAAAGAGTGGGTGATAACTTCAGAACTTTTGATTTTCATATTCTTTTTTTGCTTTAATGTAGGACATACAACACTGAAGACTGCAGAAAGTATTGCTGATTTTGGATATACTGTAACTGTGAATAGTTATATAGTTTGCAAATGGAATGATCAACCAAATTAAACCAAGAAATTTATATCTGTATTTTGTTTTTTTTCTCTGTTACATCCAATTCTTGTAAACTGTGCTCTGGTAATTGGTCAAACTCTTTGAGATGACATCTTTAGTTGCTCAAAGTAGCATATGTGTATAGTATATATTCACTGGTTTTTGATCCAACCTCACAAGAACATAATTAGATATTTGTCTAAGTTTCCTCCTGAATTAGAATCTTAGAGAGTCCAAATACCCTCAGGTACATTTCATTACAAGCTCCTGATATTTTTTCCCCATTCTTCAGTAATGCATATTTTAAAAAGTTTAGCCTCTTGGGCTTCTTATAAGGTGAAAATTAATCTCTTGTTTCAGATAGTATGAAACCTGTGGGTTCCTCAGACTGTCTTTGCATTTTCTTTCTTGTTCAGGCAAAGTTAAATAAGTTATTGCTACATTATATGTAGTCTGAAGTAATAGGAAGTCTCATTACAGGAACTTCTTATAATTTGACACATCCCCCGAGAGGTTTGGTCCTGTGTGTGGTGTGTTCCATCACAAGACGAAGGGGGTACATGGGCACACACGTGCACAGAGAGGAGCTGGAATGATCCAGAGAAGGTCTAGTGCATCCCTGAGTGCATGGCCAGTGTACTCAAAGGTGATACTGGGAGTGAGCTGGACACTGCTCTAGCATTGCCTCTGGGACAGAGCAGGCTCAGCAGAGCTTCTTGGTTTGAGCTTGAACGCTGTGCCCGGACAAACAGTACACCCTGATTTAGAGGAATAATCCTTTCTTTTCAGCACTGCATCAAGTACGTTGTGTGGATTACCAACTCAGTCATCTCCATTTTCATGTTCTGGTCCTTTGGCCTAGTAAGCCTCTCCCAGTTGCACATTTCCTTAGATCAGTCCCACATCCCATGTCACTTATATTCTCCTCACCCATTTCTGTGATAATCTTAGAAGAGTAAATGGGTTACCTTCCCTGCCAGTTCTGTGGAGTCTTACATGTGGCTGAGCAAAGTGCTGTCCATTAGGGAAAGGAAATCTATTCCTTGCCACAGCTAAAACAGCATGGAGATTAATATTCTCTCCTACTTGCACAGGACCTTTGCTAAGCCTAATAAATTTAATTAGATGCTATATGTAGCAGATTTAAGGGAGAAACTTACTTATGTTTGCTTTTGAAATACTGACTTTGTTGCACGGGAAGGTCATTTAAATGCCTTTGTAGAATTATTGAAATAGGTATTGATTTCAGGGGCTTTTATTATTTTCACTATTCTATGCCTTCTACCTTGCCCTCTTTTCTGTCAATAGGTAACAAACTATCCCTAGGTCTGGTACATAAATAAATGAATAAAGTGCACTTAGAGATAGGCAGGATTATAAATATCAAGGAAGATGGAGACATAGGTGAGAATAAACCTTTATTAACACATCCCCCCAAAAATCCCAAACAAACCACACCCTCTAAAAAATAAATAAATAAATCCAAACTCAAAAAATCCCCACAAAGTAACAATTACTTTAAAAAAAAAAGATAAAAGTGAACTAGCTGGGGAAGAATAAATGACAAGGATAGTTCTTCAGTAATACTTCATGGGATATCAGAGAGCTGTATTTGCTTGGTACTTTTAGGAGCACTGGTATGTGGGCTGGAGGGATCAACTGTGCTGCTTGCAGATAGATGGGCTGCATGCCATAATACAATTTACCAGTGGAAAATATTCATGATTTTCACTTGGAGCCTTACAGAGTCACGGATGACAAGCTGTTATAGTGGAAGAAAGGCATCAAGGCTGCCAGAGAAACACCTTTAAAATATCTTTTTTCTAGGCTGTGAACGGCAAGTGGGAACATAGAGTTGCTATTCTAAGAAAGCCCATTTCTACCAACAGATCTTTTCTCTTGGATGTACTGGGTTGTCTCCTCTTCCTCTTCTTCCTCCCTGGACCCCAGCACCTCCTGGCTGCCTCCATTCCTAAGCAAGGGGCAGTGTAAAGCAGCCTTGGTGTCTTTGCATGCCGACTAGTTTACATAGGTCATAAAAATACAGCATGGCATTTTAACCCTGATCACAGAATCAATTGGGTTGGGAATGACGTCTGAGATCATTGAGTCCAACCTGTGGCCCAGCACCACCCTGTCAAGTAGACCATGGGACTAAATGCCACATAAGTCTCTCCTTAAACATCTTCACCATGGTCCCTCTAGGACCTGACTGACACTGGCTGGAAGATCAGTTTGTCTTTCATGCTTCAGACCAGTACATTCCAGTGTGTAAAATTCCAATTGCCTAATTGCAGTGAAAAACCATATGGAGGATAAATTTCAAATCTGTTACAGAGAATTTTCAAGGAAATCCCTTCTTCCCTGGTTCTTCTGCTAACAACATTTAAAATACTTCCCTGCTGCTAAAAGACCCCTGAGGAAATAAGCTGCTGCTTGTGTGTTAACTTCACCTCAGTGCAGCAGAGAGGGATGGTTTTAGTGCAAAATTAGAAATTGCACTGGTAAGACAAAGCAAAAAGATGGGCTGGAAACAGTCTGGCACAATGCCACAATCATATCTATTACAGAGTCACTGCAGATAGAATAAGGGAAGTGTAGAGGGAAAACAAGGCTGTCAGCTGTGAGTTGGTGCCTTCACGCCTCTCATAAATTGGGAACATTTTGTATTGTGCCTTTCTTTGTTAGATAAAATGTATTTCTTATTTCAGTGTGTGTTCTAATGAGAAGAGATGTCTGGTTCAATAATACTACCTTCTGTTTATCTGTGGCAGTTAATGAATTAAAGGGGTCATTATGCTGGCTAGTCCATAAACGTGATGATAAATTACATGAAGAAGCATTTGAGGGCAACCTGAAAACATTTGAATGACATTCCCCACATTTATTTTCTTGTTACTTACAATAACCTTATCATTCACAAATTTTACAGGGATAATTCAAATAAAATGAAATTAGAATTCTGCTTTAGGCAGGCAAATTTGCATTTAATAAAAGTCATAACTGGAAAAGCAATTAAACTACAGTAGGTTTTTTGAAGGATCCCTCTTCCTATATAAATATATATTGCAATTACTCCTACCTTAACTGTGGTATGGTTGAAGTCTCATATCTAGTCCCTCACTTTCCACAGAAGCAAAAGGAAGGCAAATAATACATTTTTTCAAGCTATATCTGCTGAATAAAACTTGCAGTGCATACGTGTATATGTTTGTGTGTTTGGATATGAGTAATTTCAAGTAAATAGAAGCATCATTATCATATTGTTCAAAGCAAAGCAGATTATTCTTTTCAGTCACCTTCTGATTTAAACACTGTAACTGGTGCTTAGTTTATGCTGGCTGGCGGCCAAGTGAAAGCAATTATATGCAATAATAGCAAAATTAAGAGGTGAGTGTTGCTGTTTTACAGCAGGACATGGCAAAACCCATTTCCTTCTGTCAGCTGTATCTTGATTACACACACACCGTCACACAGGCAAGCTGTCTTACACACACACACGTGTGCACACATTCTTGTTCTTTGTCGTTTGCAGTCTTTCCTGTCGGTTTTAACTTTAGGTCACTGAAGCCAGAAAAGAGGAAGAATATAGACCAGAGTGTTTGAAAGCAAATGAGAGTAAATGTCGTACTCTGTGAGTGAAGGACAGGAAAAAGAAAAAGAAAAAAAAAAAAAGATCAAAACAAAAAGCCTATCCCAGTTATTGTTCTAATGTGTGATAATACTTTATTTTTTGCTCACTGACAGGTGTCCTGGTGGTCAACGTTACATGGAGGAACAAGACTTACGTGGGAACACTGCTGGACTGCACAAAACATGACTGGGCCCCTCCTAGGTAGGCAAACATTCTGAGTCTGTTTTATCTCTGCTGTATTTTAACATCCAGTCTCAGGCAAGAGACTGTACAGAGATTAATAAAGCACAACCGGTTATAATTGAAAACATGCACAAGTGAAATGAGTAGTTCTGTCTTCCAGAGTGAAACGTGGGGTGGAAGCTCTTCTTTATTTTACTTTTGTATTTTTGAGAGGGAAGGGGAAATACATGGGATTCGGTCAGAGACCAGTTACGCATTTCAAAATGCGTTTCTTTTAAGTTAGGAAAATTTTTTGCTCCATTGTTCTAACCAGGTGGATATGTCCTTATCATTTTTGTCCTTTTCTAATGACTTTACCTTTGACACTGTAACATTCTTATTTGTTGGACATCTTTCCTTTTACATGTGTGAAGGTTCTCTTATGGGACATGGTGGTGGTTTTTATTTTTTCTGTTCCTGGCAGCTGCTGATGAAACCTATTGTTTGTACAGGTTTTGTGAATCGCCAACAAGTGACCTGGAAATGCGCGGAGGACGCGGCAGGGGAAAGCGGGCAAGGTCCGCTGCGGCTGCGGCTGTGCCTGGGAATGATGCGAGTTTTGCAGAGTCCAGAGGACTTCAGAATAAAAATCGAGGCGGTGCCAATGGGAAGGGCAGAAGGGGCAGCCTTAACTCAAGTGGGCGCAGAACACCCCCAAACTGTGCCATGGATGAAGTCAAAGCCAGCCCCTCGTCCACAAACAAGAGGAAAACTAAGCCTCCTATGGAGCTGGATTTGAACTCCAGTTCAGAGGACAACAAGTCCGGAAAACGCATTCGTACTAACTCTAGAAGCACTCCTACCACTCCACAGGGGAAACCTGAGACTACTTTTTTGGACCAAGGCTGCTCTTCCCCAGTGCTGATTGACTGTCCTCACCCCAACTGCAACAAGAAGTACAAGCACATTAATGGATTACGTTACCATCAGGCTCATGCACACTTAGACCCAGAAAACAAACTGGAGTTTGAGCCTGACAGTGAAGACAAAATTTCAGACTGCGAGGAAGCACTGAGTAATGTGGCACTTGAATGCAGTGAGCAAAGCACAAATTTGCCAGGCTTTGATCCACTAAAAGCACCAACATCTCCTTCCTCCATTGCTACCCCAGGGACCCCCAAAGGAAAGAGGGAACTGACCAGCAATGGCCCTGGTTCAGTTATCAGTTCCAAAACTGGCAAGAATTCTGGCAAAAAGAAGGGTCTGAACAGTGAATTGAACAGCCTTCCAGTAATTTCTAACATGGCAGCCACACTGGATAATTGCTCAGTTACAGATGGCAATTTGCAAACCGAAATGCCGAAGTTGGAGGCTGAAGGGTTAATTGACAAGAAGAGTTTAAGTGATAAAGGCAAGAAATCGAGCAATTGCAAAGTGGATAAAAACCTTTCCAAGCTGAAAACAGCTAGGCCCATTGCCCCAGCACCAGCACCAACTCCTCCCCAGTTAATAGCTATACCTACTACAGCCTTTACAACCACCACTACAGGGACAATACCAGGACTGCCCTCTCTAACAACTACTATTGTTCAGGCTACACCAAAGAGCCCTCCACTGAAACCCATTCAACCAAAGCCCACAATTATGGGAGAGCCAAGCACTGTAAACCCAGCTCTCACATCACTCAAAGACAAAAAGAAAAAGGAGAAGCGAAAGCTGAAGGACAAAGAAAGCAAAGAGACGGGCAGCCCCAAGATGGATTCTAAGCTGGGGAAGCTGGAGGATTCAAAAGGGTCTGGAAAAGACTTATCTGGACATTTTTTAAAGGACCATCTCAACAAGAATGAAGTGCTAGCTAATGGACTGTCAGAGTCTCAAGAGAGCAGGATGGCAAGTATTAAGGCTGAAGCTGATAAAGTTTACACATTCACAGACAATGCGCCCAGCCCTTCCATAGGGAGTGCCTCCAGGATGGAATGCAGCACTTTGGTGAATGGACAATCTGCCATGGCCCCACTGCACGTGTTGACACAGAATGGCGCAGACAGCGCGGCCGCTAAAACCAACAGCCCTGCTTACTCAGATATTTCTGATGCAGCTGATGATGGTGGCTCTGACAGCAGGTCAGAGGGCATGAGGTCAAAGGCCAGCTCTCCATCAGATATTATTTCTAATAAAGATGGTGTTGTAAAAGGACATTCTTCAACCACAGCACAATCAGCTCAAGCAAAAGAGTCTCATTCTCCCTATTACCATGGCTACGATCCTTACTATTCCCCAAGTTACTTGCACTCTGGACAGGTCAGTGCCCCAGCAGCTGGGAACAGCGGTACCCCACAGGGGCTGAAGATTAAAAAAGAGGCTGAGGAAGAGGCTGAAAAGAAAGAGAAGGCAGAATCGTCAGATGCCAAGAAAAGCGAAAGCACTTCCTCTAATTTGCAGCCACAACATCAGTCAGTAATAACTCAAAGACACCCTGCACTTGCTCAGTCACTTTATTATGGACAGTATGCCTATGGGCTCTATATGGACCAAAAGTCCTTAATGGCCTCCAACCCTGCTTACAGGCAGCAGTATGAAAAATACTATGAGGACCAGAGACTAGCAGAACAGAAAATGGCACAAAGTGGGAGGGACTGTGAAAGGAAGAATGACCCCCCCTTAAAAGAGATTGGGAAGGATGACAACAAGCAGAAGAATATTCCATCTGCTACTATTTCAAAGGCCCCTTCAACTCCAGAGTCCAGCAAAAATAACACTAAAATAGGGCCATCAGTTCCTAACAAAGGTGAGGAGACAAGCAAATCACAGATCCTTTCCAATCACCAGCAGCAGCTTCAGTCTGACACTTTCAAAGCCAAACAAATGGAAAACCACCAGCTTATAAAGGAGGCTGTGGAGATGAAATCTGTTATGGACTCAATGAAGCAAACAGGAGTAGATCCAACCACAAGATTTAAACAGGTGAGACCACTGGAAATGGAACAAGAGTGTCTTGGTTTAACTTTTAAGTCGTGAGATTTTCTTTCTGATTCTGCTACGTTCTTCTACCTCTGCAGCCACACAAGTTCCACCATCATTTTTTCATGCTGAATTGTATTGTAGTCTGTGAATAGACCAATAAACCTTCCAGTTGAGCTGTTTAAAAAAAAAAAAAAAAAAAAAAGTCTAGTAAGGTGGTGACAGAGCATAGGCTTACGACCTGAGCAGACTATTTTAAAATATATGCATGAATAAAATAGAATTAGATTTCTCTTTTAGATGTAAACTGTAAGCAGTTTGCTTAGTTCAGAAATGAGACATTTCAAGCAAAATAAGCAGCTTTCATTGTGAGAGGACTTAAAGTAGATTTGAAACATGGTTTGAAGTGTTTCTTTTTTTTGTTAAATGACAGTTGGCATTTACTAAAGATGGGTGAGCTGGTTCTTTGAAGAGTTGGCTTAAAGCACAGCTCTTTATCTTAACCCAAGGTGACCTTTCTGAAGCAGTTAAGTTCCCCTTCTCTCCTCAACCAACCTCAAGCCCCTACAGACCTACACAATGGATGAAATCCTCTCTCCATTGAAGTCAGTGATAGTTTTGCCATTGACTTCAGTGGGACCAGAATTTTATCCAGTGGCTTCATGCTGACCCTCGTAGATGTCACATTGCCTTCATTTGAGGCAATGCAACTGTCTCCGTGCTCTGAACTAGAGCCTCAATGCTTGATACTTTCATGTTCTGGTGTATGGTACATCCCAGACTTCACCCTTACAGTCTGTCTTTCAAGGTACAGTAGGATCAGGGGAATGGGAGTAGAGAGCTCTAAAGGAAGTGGGGTGGTACAGCCCTAAGTAGGAGAAGATTTCTGCTGATTCAATTGAGTATTTGAACCGGACTGTCTAAGTGTTAAGTGTGCTAATATTTCTATGGTGTGTGCCATAAATGTCTGTCAGCTGGAGAAAATGTTGACAATTAGCTCTTGCATACCCTGTATTAGAAAAAGAAATCTTTCTGTTACTTCTCGTACCGATTTGGTGTGGTGCTGTGAAGAACTGCCCTCTCTAGTTCTGTAACATGTTTAAAAATTGGTCTGTGTAATGCATTATTTTTAAAAGTATTTACAGTGCCCAGTACATGTTTTTTAAACCAAGTGACCCTGATCCAATAAATACTTGCCCACCTGTAACTTTACAAACTTAAAATAAGATTGTCAGCTGAAAAAGTCTGCTTTAATGTTTGACTTCCACTGATTCTTGGATGTTTGTAATACCAGAGGCAGCATTAGAGTCTTGCCAGCTAGATCAGCTTTTCATGTGTGTTGTTCCAGGTATTCTAAGTACTCTAGCATATCATTAGCCAGCTCTAATTTTGTGGTTCACAGACACTTTTTGCTCTCTAGTGGGAAAAGTCTCTCTGTGGGCTTTAATTAAAATGTTTTATGAATAACATGGTCTCAGAACTTCATTACTTTGCACATGTATTTCATGATTAAACTAGTTAAAGGCATGAAGAAGGATATAAGATGAAGCAATTGAATTAAATTTTGATAATAGACTCTTGCTCCTTCATGGGAATATTGGTTTGACTTTGAGCTCGAGGCACTCTGTAGCAAGCAAACTTCTCCTCTATGTAATGGGGATATGGTATTAAAACAGCTATTAAAAATACATTAATTGAAATGTGGGAAATATCAATAACAAACTTAGCTCTACGTCTAAGTTCAGAACAATTTTTTTCTCCTCTTTATTAGGATCCAGATTCACGAACATGGCATCATTATGTCTATCAGCCCAAATACCTTGATCAGCAAAAATCAGAAGAACTTGATCGAGAGAAAAAGTTAAAAGAAGACAGTCCTAGAAAAACACCTAACAAGGAAAGTTCCCTGCCTAACCTTCCTGTCTCATTAGCAAGCATTAAAGAGGAGCCCAAAGAGGTCAAGCGCTCTGATTCTCAATCAGTGGATGAGAGCAAGATAAAAAATGATGATCAAAAGACTCCTGTAAATTGGAAGGACTCTCGGGGTACTAGAGTAGCAGTTTCCTCACCAATGAGTCAGCATCAGTCATACATCCAGTACTTGCATGCTTATCCGTATCCGCAGATGTACGATCCCAACCATCCAGCCTATCGCGCAGTCTCTCCTGTCCTAATGCACAGCTATCCTGGTACGTATTCCAAAACCTGCCTTTAAGATTGCTAGTTAAGTGCTAGTTAAAATTTGCATCCTCAGGTTCAGTAAAGCCTGCATTTTAATATTTCTGTTAGCAGCTAGGCTAAATTAGAAGCTTCATGGGTGACATGGCGTTGCTTGTGCTTCCACAGGGGAACATTCTGTGGATGAAACTGGTTTAATACAAGATGTTCCTTTTATGAACTCTCAAGTTTCTCAACACTTGACAGTCTGCTGTTGCTGTTAGACTGACAGATAGTTTATTGCCTATAAAAATATTCTAAGCACTTACTGTCAGAACCATTATAGTTACTATTCCTTTTACTTAAAGAGGACCCATAAATGTCTGAAATGGTTATCAACTCAACCCTCTTTATAACCTCCATTCATCAGGGTAAATTAGGTGATGAAATTGAAGAGCAGTCATGCCATTTGGTAGTCACGTGATCTACAGTTGATGTAATTGTCAGTTCTGATATTGTCTCCTCCTCCCTTGATATAATCAAAATGTAAAAACAGTAAGTTGATGTGGTATTTATTGTTTACCCACAGGGGCCTATCTCTCTCCAGGATTTCATTATCCAGTTTATGGAAAGATGTCAGGGAGAGAAGAGGCAGAGAAGGTCAATGCCAGCCCGAGCATCAATGCAAAATCAACCACTGAGTCCAAAGCACTGGATTTGCTCCAGCAGCATGCCAACCAGTATCGCAGCAAGTCACCTGTTGTAAGGCTTCATTTGTTCTTACTGGAGAGTGTCACGTACAGGAAGGGGTAGAGGAGGAACGTACTTGTGGGAAGCACACAATCTGGCATCAAGCTATGAGTGCATGATTCTTCTTTATAGTACTGCTTACAATAAAAGCAGTTTATAGTCAGAATGCTTCTGTGGCATAAACTGGAAGTAACACATCTAACACAGTTCTGTGCTGAGGTTTCCTGTCTTGAATAGACTAATATAGAAATACAGATTCAAAGATACCTCCTGGTGCACAGATTTTTGCAGTTAAACAGGAACCTCCTGTTTGGAAACATAATAAAATGAGAAGTTGGGCTATGGGATTTGATAATATCCCCTCCTTGTATTTGCCAAGAATCCACATCTTCCACATAGATGATTACCAGCCCCCATTTCTGAAGATCTGCAAATGAGATTTACAAAGCTGGAACAAATACTGTTATTTCACTTTCAGATAAGTTGTTGCTGGTTTTAATTGTGAGCAAGTCACTGGCTCTCATTCTATTTTATAAAAATAGTTTTTCTGCTGTTCAGTCAAACTTGATCCCCAGAGAGCTTTAGAAGGTTGAGCATTTTCAGCAGCTCACCTAAGTTGTTCAGGCATTGTCAAGCCAGCTGAGCTTCAGGGAGCCCAAAACTAGAAGTAACCATGGTGTCTTCAAGATGCAGTGCATTGCCTCAAAATCTTTGTGCCTTGGGAAATCTTCCATTATCTAGAAAGATTAACTTGAGATGAGAATCAAATGCAAATACTCTGGTAGAGATACTGCTTCAGAAAAAGTGAGCTACAATAATTTGTACTCAAAAGGTTTTTGACAGGTAGTGGCACATGGTTTTGTTGTGATTTCATCCCTTCTAAAGTTCTCACATCAGTTTTCTTTCACTTTGTTACTAGCCTGTGGAAAAATCACCAGCTGAGCGTGAGCGGGAAGCAGAAAGGGAGCGAGACCGCCATTCTCCTTTCAGCCAGCGGCATCTCCATACACACCACCATACACACGTTGGAATGGGCTACCCCCTTATACCGGGACAGTATGACCCATTTCAAGGTGAGCAGAAAATTGTCAGTGGGTGGGATTAGCTTGCCTCATGGAGTTGTTGCCTTGACACTGGAAATTGTACCTACATGAAGCATTTTGAATAGAGATACTGCTGTTAGAACAGAAGTGCTTTACGTTTAGGGAGAAGGCTTGAAAATTCACAGCATGTACTAGCAATAAATTAATAGCTTCATGTCTGAAAAATACCAAGTTTTGTTTCCAAAACTGGGTGTCAGAGAATTATTAAAGATGTACCAGTTAGGCTGTCATCCACGTGAATGTTTTGATTCCTCCTGCAAACTGACATTAACTGGCTGAAAGGCAGTAAAATATCCAAGCCAAACAACCTCCTTTTTGTACAATTAGGGTTGTGTAAGCAATGGAGGAAGTGTAGCAAAGACAAAAGCTTTTTATGCTGAACATATTTTATGTACAAGGCATTGCAGTCACAAGGGTTTGTGCTTGTTATAATTTGACTGTTTGAAAGAGGACTCTTTGTATTTTGGCAAATGCCGTGCACAAAGTTGCAGTCAGGGAAAAAGCAGCACAGTGAGATACAATTTATTCTCCCTAGGTTTTATACTGGTCTTTGAATGTTTTTTCTCTAACCATGGACTCTAGCTGAATCAAAAGGAGGTTTCCTCCCATGCAACAAAGTATGTGCTGCCACAATTGGTGGCTGAATGACTTTTCTTCTTTACATTGACTTCGTGCCTCAGCACTTATTTTTCCTGTGTAAAAGTCTTGACATTTCTCAGTGTGATTCAGTGATTCCATATGCCTTTTGGGATGCATTATGCTTGTTCAGTAGCAAAACTGTAAAAATGGTAAGTTGTTATGAAAGTATTATATCCTGAGCAGCTGGCATGTCATTTCTGTAATTCACTGTGTCTTTTGATTCTTGTTGTTTCCTGATACCTATTATTTCTACTGAGCTTCTTATTCATGAGCTCTCATACAAACCACTTAGCATCGTGCAGTGCGGTATTTGGAAAGGAATGCAGTAAGTAGAAATGCTGTAATTTCTTGTAGAATATCTATCAAAGACAATTCAATTTATTACAGAAAGGTATATTGATCATACTAGGCAGACTATCTTAACAATGTTGCCTGCAATATTTGTTATTTATGTAGTGATAACCCCCCTACATTTTCTGGTTGTTTGCCTTAGAGAGCCTTCCTACCATTACTCTGACCACAAAAATCCATTAAAACCAGAGGTACGTCAACATTCCTTTGTTTCTTCTTTCTCGCAGGGTTGACCTCTGCTGCCCTTGTTGCTACTCAGCAGGTGGCTGCACAGGCATCTGCATCTGGTATGTTTCCTGCACAAAGAAGGTAAATAGCCAATAAATTATATATTGTAACATAGAGAGGAGAAAGCAAATCAGAAAATCACAGATTTTTTTAGACTGCTGGTGTGCATTTCCTTGTATGACACAGTTTTAAGGTTGAGGAAAAACTTGGTACTTTGGATTAATTGCACTTCTCCTTAGAATGACATCTTGTCCTTAGTTGTGTTCTTTAATTGTAACATAGGTCGTTGAGAAAGAACAAGTAGTCTGTCTTCTGAGATTTTCCTTAGAGTGTGTTTTAAGGATTGGCATTAAGATAAAACAAGAGATTATGAAATATAATTTTTAAGATCCAAATTTTTAATAAAATGAGTTTAAAATTAATGTTCTAATGGGCTCCATGCATGACCACAAGAATTTAGGATTTTATCTATTCTGCAAGTCTGCCTGGTTTGCTGATATTGCTTTTAGAGAGGTTTGTTTGGGAGCCTGTTAGAGATAGTTTTGTATTTAGGTTGCACACCCATGTCATACATTTATGTGCCTGAAAGCCTCTCAGTCATTTACTAGGTTGTCAAGAGGAAAATACTTCTGTATTATGATGGTTCCATACCAAGTGATAATTCCAAAGCATCTTTTAACATTAGGATTTCGTTCACTGCTGCCCTGTAAAGACTCAGAGTTTAGTGTATCAAATAGAACGGTGAAGTTCCATGTTACAGGTGTCTGTCTGAAAGCTGATGCTGAAACAAGCAACCATTAGCTAGAATTATTTGAGTAAGAAAGGTTTGTAGCCCTGGAAGGGCTGGTGGATGATAGGGTATCAGAACACAGAAGAAAAATCCTGACACAGGTTACTTCTCAGGATGTTGTTCCTGGCAGGGGAGGGATGAGGACAGGGCTTGCTGTCTTTTCTTCTTGGGGTCGAGAATGCTTGTATAGATTTCATTTCATGATGCATTCAAGGTGCAGAGAAAAAAGTGTGTGGAAAGAATGCTGCTTACTAAAACCTTCTTCTTTCTCTTTTCAGAGAATGATGAATTTGGGGATGAACATTGTCATGTGACTGGATCACATGAGGAAGCGCTTTATTACAGACATCAGTTCCATGGTGTTAATTTGAAATGCCTTAATGGCAGGCAAAAACCAGTCATTTCATTTTTGTAAATTGCAGATTTTATCACAGAGTAACAAATGTTGCTGTAATTAGACTTCTGTTTTTTTATATATATATATATGCGTATATATATATATACATATATATATAAAAATATATATATATTCTTTACTTTTTTTGTATCAGTACCAAGGCTCGCACACAGGGTCTGCTGCTAAGTTGCGAACCACACACTAAATGGAGATATGTATTTGTCATGTTTAGAAGGCGTTAACCGCAAAAGGCTGTTTGTTTCTTTTCTCCTCTTCTTCTTCTTCCTTTCCTTTTTCTTCTCTCTTTTTCTTCTCTCTTTCCAATTGTAAATAAATAATGTTATGTATCAGTGTGCCTGAACCTTGCATACCCTTCTGGTATTTCCCACAAGCTCTCAGAGAGGCTAACTGTGATGACACTTTGGTACAATGTAGATGTCTATTTGGTGGTTCCTATTAAGATGCATCAGTGTAAAATGTTACTGTATTCACTGTTTCATTGTAATTGTGTATTGTGAAAAATATACCTTTGGAAGGCATGGGGATTCTAGTACCACAAAAACTGTGTTGTATATAATGTATAGATTTTAAATGGAGATAATGAGCATCTGTGAATAATGAAATGTCTTTTTTGATAATCTTGAATGGCAGATAACCTAATAGCCTGCATATGAGAAGACATCTGTGATTGTTCTATTACTTGAATAGTCCTGCAGTCTTTTTTTTAATGTTTACAATTACCCAGATTTAGAGGAGAGACTTTAATGCCATTACCTGTTTACTTGTTTTATGCTGTAACCTAGTTTATTTTATGTAAAACCTATATCAAATGCTTTCGTTTTTTTACTTGCCTTAAACAATTTGGCAATCAGAATAATGAAAAAACTTTGATTTTTTAATTTTTTTTTTAATTTGTTTTTGATTTCTGGGTGTTCTTGAGCCACTTTGAAAGATGTGTCATAGCTGTAGATAGCAGAGGGTGCAGCAATGGCACAGCTCCTGGTTGTGCTCCTGCTGGGCCTGTGCCATTGTCCTCTCCCAGCGGGCAATGCAGGATCCAAGCCAGATGGATCTCTTTCTGTTGACCCTGATAGGCTCAAAAAAGGCCCATGGTAACACTTTGGATGGTATTAGTGGAACTGAAGTCTCTAATACCTGTTTTAGAGCAGCTCTGTATGCTATAAATTAAAGGCAAATTTTTTTCCTATTATATCTGTATTGCCCTTCCCCCCAAAAATGAATAGATGCCTAAAAACAGAGGACCTGTCAATTAAAAAAAAAAAATTCCTTTGCTGTGTCTAACCTGCATTACCATAAGATAAATATTTTATGTGGCTATACCACCTGTTTTGTTACAATGCAGTTAACACAGTAACATGAATTGGCTAATTGTGATGTGAAAAAAAACCAAATTTACTGGTCAGGTTTTTGAGGCTTTAACTTTTTTCCTTTTCTGCATATCCCAGTTACACTGATTGTCAAAACTGGTTTTTAAAGTTTTACTGGTTGTTTTTGTTTTGTGTTTGTTGGGTTGTTTTGTTGGGTTTTTTTTGTTTGTTTTTTTTTTTTGACAGGGTGAATTAGTGCAAGTTAAAGGTTGTTCTTGAAGTTGGTTCCATTTCTTCTACCTTGTGAATACTTAATACAGAAGGATGAATTAAAGATTCCCAACAGACAAGCACACTTGGACTTTTATATTACTATGATGAATCTGCCATTAATATTGCTATAATTGTTTTATTTTTATAGGCATAAAATCAGTTCCCTTAGTGAATAGTTATAAGGTTTATTGATTTTTACTACACATCATTCATCTGTGGCTTACTATTATTGTCTTGTTCTGAACACATTCAGAAGTCTCACAGTGGTGACATACTACAAGTTAGCCTCATAAAAAAATGGGAAGGAAGGGTGTTTTCTTTGAAAAAGGGGATATTGTGAATGCAGGGCTCTTGAAATAATAAATGCCTTATTACTTCTATAGTAAAGGCTCAGATGACTTTTGTGTTGAAACATACCATTGCCTTTTGTTTTTTTCCGCCTAAACCATTAATGCTACCACAGCAAAACAAATCTTATAAATTCACACTGTTGGCGATTTTTAGTGTGGTTTGAGTGTCATAAGTAACTGGAATGAATTACTCTGATTGATACAGGTAAGAAACAGTTAAAATTATTATTAATGTTATAGTTTTTCTGTGTTCTTGAAGTCTGTAAGAGTGGCTAACATCTCTTGTCATTTATTTGTCTTCCTCCACTTAAGATTATTATGTCTTCCATCTAGCTTCATAGCCTTCTTTTTGCTTTAACACTCACCATTCTGACCTCCCTAAAGGCTGTGCCACAGTGAATGTCGCTCTCTGGTTCAGCAGCCCCCAAAGGGCGCTCACCCGCAGGTCTGAGCACTGATGTGCAGCTGCCAGGGTCATTTCACCACTGTGTGAGCATCCAAAGGAAGAGCAAACTGAAGAAGTAATACAAGGAAGACAATTTATACACCTGGGAACCAGCTGCAGAGGCTGTTCACTGAAAAGGGGCAGCAGAAGAATCATGATACAGATACATTTGCACTCTGTTTTCCACAGGATGGGATTATACTTTTTGCTACCTCTAGCTGACCTCTACCACCCTGCCCTTCCAGTAGCAGCTAACAGGGACCTTGCTTCAGTCTTTCATCCAGGTGTTGCTGGATATCTTGCAAAGGTGAAGCAGGGCTTATGCAGTACACTCATTTGAGTTTATAAGTCTGTCCATGTAAATGTAGCTAGAGAAATGAAAGATCTGTCAGTGTGAGCCCATCACAGACTCAAAAACCCAGCCAGGGAGCTACTGCCTGTGATGCTTGCAGGGGGAGAAAAATGGATGTGAATGGCAAAGGAGGGTGGGGTGTTTTTTGAGCTATCATGTGGCTCTAGGGGCTGAAACAGGACAGGGGTCTAACCAGCTGAGCTGGCTGCCTACCAGGGCTAGCCTAGAGCTGGTGAAAATGGGGGCTAAGAGAAACATAACTTCAATTTTGTAATTTTAGAATTCTCTATTGGCCTTGGTGAGTACCTGAGAAGTCACAAAGCTAATTCTGTGCCACACATCCCCTCCTCGCTTCTGGTAGGTGCATTGGCTGGGCTTAACCATTTGGTCTTGAGTTACACTTGTCACTCCGCTGTCAGAACAAGGACCCCCAAAGAACATGAATTTAGAGAATCCCTGAATCCATCCTAAAACACACACGAGGAATTGTTGATATTGGCAAAAACAAAGTTCACTACAGTGCCCTTCTACATCTCTCCAACCTGACTCTTCTCAGAGAACCAGTGAGAGTCAGGGAGTCAGGGAGGGAGTCTAATTCATATTTCATTCCTGGCATCAGAGTCTTGCCAGTGTCACAACTGGCAGAAGTACTGTCCTCATGTTTCTGTCTCAGAATCTCACTCTAGTGTTTGCTTAGCACTCTCTCTCCTCTTTTCTCCTCTCCCCTCTCTGTGCCACTTGCCAGCTTAAGGAGCCCTCTTACATCCATCTGATACCATCAAAACTCTATTTGCACATTTAAAAGCTTTCTGCATACATTTGTGAGCTTGACCCTTGATTAGTTCTCTCTCTTTCCTTTTATAACAATTCGTCTCTTGACCTGCATCTTTATCTTAGACTGTGTTAATGTATCCTGCCTCTCTTTAGCCTACAGTGTTTGGGAGAGAGAACATATTTCACTTCAAATTCATACAGTGTAGTTTATGTTTATAGCTACCTCTTAATAATAGCAACAGCCACTCACAGATGGCAAGAGTAGCTAGGACAGATCACTGATTAACAAGGAGCCTAAGGTAACTGACAAAAAACATTACAGTTTTCAAAGGTATTTTAAAACCATCCAATGACCTGAAATTGTGAATGATACGAAGCCCACATAGGAAGTCTGAGCCTTTATCTCCCTGCATCAGAGGGAACTGGAGACATACAGTCATTACTTAATATGCCAGCTTTGTTCTGCTTTAGAAAGAGAGCTCTGGTTTCACTTTTAGCACTTCATGTAGCTCTCTGCACTAAACACCCTATAGCATTACTGTGAACTACAGTTCTCCCTCGGGAAGTTTTCTTTTTTCTAGGTCAGTATTTCCTAAGTTCTGGTAGTTTCAGCCTTTTTGCCAAGTTTAGCTTTTTTTTTTTTTTTTTTTTTCCCTCCTCTCTTTTTCCCCCCTCTTTTTTGTAATTTTTTTCCTTTTTCTTTTCTTTTGGAGGGGGTGGAATCTTACTGTTACCAAGAAATACAAGAGGATTTTACTAAGGAGAGGAGACATCAGCTGAAGTTGTGCATGTTCCAGTGGTGGGGAGACAGACATCACTGAAATTCTTACGCTGGCTGTTAGTAATTTCTGTGCAACATACCCTAAATAGGGCTTTCAACTTCAGTTGCAACTCTGAAATTTCTCATCTGGACTGATAAATTAGCAAACTTAAATTAGCAAAGGTAATTATTACTTGCAGCATAGAAATATTTGTCATGAAGAAAACTTAATCTTCACCTTAACATGATAGAAAAATATTCTAGGGCTATGAAGGTGTAGATTTTGCTCTAAACAAATTAATTCCTGCAGACCCAGCTGATACCTGTAGCTCAGTTCCAGTAGCCTCACAGATGTTTCAGCATCATATTCTGTGGCCATTTTGAATGATATAAAGACGTATGTTAATTAATTATATGATATCTATCATTTGAGTTCACTGATGATAGGATAGTGCTTGCTTACTGGTTTGAGCAGTAATGCTACAGGATTTCCTCATGAAACAGTGCAGCAATGCCTGATAAAAAGTAGAATTAGATCAGTAGCCAAAGGCTCTCTGAAAGCCTGTTAAAACCCTTAATACAGCAGACTAATTTTAAAGCATCCATCTTGACAAGTAAATTACTTCGGTCCTTTTAATTGTTTCCAAGGCCCTGAGGGTATTACCAGGCCTTGCTCTCCCAGCCCAGCCTCCCACGGAGCTTCCTCTCCCTACCCCTTCTCAATTGTCCAGGACTCCCGTTTCAGTCCAGGCTGTTCATCTGTGTTTCAGGGATACGGATGCCTTGGGCTAGAGCTGTACCCTAGCAGTGTTTCCCCTTTGCTGGGGTCAGTGGGGTGCGACCTGCCAGCCTCCAGAAGCCCCCAGCCTTGGCTGCATCTTTAGAATTACTAAGAATGTGCAGTTTTTGCTCTTAAGGGATTTGTGTTTAGGCTGTTTCTTACAGAATGTTATGTAGGAAAAGGGATTTGGTAAGACCCCTGCTAATATTTTTTAAAGTAGACAAATATAAGGTTAAAGAGGAATTTTGTCTTTACATGTTTCAAATCCAACAGTGGAAATGAGGTGTGGAATAAAAAGATTGAAGAGCCCCCTGCATAGTTAACAGCCACCATGAAAAAAGTCCTTTTTTCACCTTATTTTTTAATCCTTCTTTCCTCCACAGTATAACTTTGTATTTGAGAGTCCAAGTGGCACTAGAAATAACTTGAGGATACAGGAGCATTTTTTCCCTCTCTTCTTCCAGTGAGAGTGACTGAAAGGGGCAATTAGCTGTAAAAGGAGCTGGCTCTTAATACATGTATTCAAACTAGGCACCTTCTGTATACAGAACATGTTTCTCATTAATGAGTTCCCTATTCAGCAGTGGTCAGCTCTGCTGCCTGCTTCAGCAAGCTGGCTGCCTCCTTCCTTTGGGGCTCTGTTCCCCAGAAGAGAGTGGGAGGAACCACATCAAGGGCTACATGGACTGCAAAAGCAGCGGAAATTTCTGCTCTTCCTTTGCTTATAAAAGCCAGAGCAAGGCTTGCTTTTTATAATTTCCTTTTGTTCATACCTTTTCCCACTCTGTCACTAAGTCAGCTTAAGTATTTGCAGTGATGAGCCTCATCAAGCCACTGATTTTGAAGTAGAGCTCCAGACAGAAAAGGTCATTAAAATGTCAATGACAACATGTTCCATGCCATGCATTAGAACATAACAATTTAATACCAAGCTTTGCCACAAGGATCTGCAGCCTTAATTCATTATCTTCCTGATTGAACTAAAGCTGATTTCCTTGAACAGAGAAATCACCAAATCCTCAGACTCTAAATGACTTGTAGCTTTCCTGAAACCAATTGACCACTTTTCCTTTGATCTGTCAGGAGTCTGTCCCCATATTTGGATTTATTTCCCCAAAGAAAGTGTAGAAGAAACTGCTAGAGAAAGAAAACACTAGAAATAGCAAGACAGAGTCCAGCCTCATTAGGCTTAGGCAGACTCTTCTGCAACTCAGTTAAGGATTTGGTCCCTTGAGGCAGAGCAAGTAATTGCTATTTGGTATAGCTCCTTCCTTCTTCCTTGAGTACATGCACATGTACTCTCTCAGATGCTCATGTACTCACTCTCCCCTTTATTACAGGGTCATGTATATATGCCATATGCATGATTTGATACCAGTTTGCTTAGGGGTTTCTTTTATAGACCACCAGCAGTAAAATAGCTCTCCAATAGCAAGGACTGCTCAGCTTTGGAGTTTTATGTCTGCACTTCACACCAGACCACAAGTTTTAAAACCCTTCTAAAAGGGTTAATGAACAAACAATAAAATCCAGTTGTATTTGAAGGAGAGCAGGATATGTACATCAGTGTATTGGCCTGACAAATTATTCAATGTGCACCCAGAAAGAGGAGGGAACAATTAAATCTGGCCCTGATATGTAGGGAGAACAGGAGGCATTGACATAAAAGGGACCTAGGAGAAAACTTCTGAGTTTGCTCTAAAGACTTTAGTGCTGTGCTCTGTAGTGAAATACAGGCCTTTGGAGAGTTGTGGGTCCAGCAAGGTCACCCAAGAGCAGCGGTGTCACATAAGCCACTGAGCAGGAGCAGGTGAGTGCCCAGACACTGGCACTACAAACTGCAGTGAATCCTAGTAAAGAAAGCTCTGGCGTTGGACAGGCAGACCTTCGCTGTGGAGCTGACATGGAGCAA